GGTTCCCCCTCTGGCCTACCACAGCTGCAGTATGTTTCGGGGTGAACTCTTTGTGCTGGGCGGGGTGTTTCCTTGTCCAAACCCGGAGCCCGATGGCTGCAGTGACTCACTGTACATATTCGATCCCCACCTCTCCATCTGGTACCAACCCATTGTGACAGGCGACAAACCCTCCCCTCGCTCAGGGTAAGATCTGTTGATCCAAATGTTATTGCAGTATTTCTGGCTGACGTTCTTTCTTTCAAACACACATTTTAAACACAGTTTTCTCCAGCTCTTTAACTCCCTCTTTGGTTTTTGTGCTTTCAGTCACTCTGCGTGTGTGATGCAGGAGAGGAAGATCTATGTGTTTGGTGGATGGGACACTCCTGTGTGCTACAATGACATGTATATGCTGGACCTTGGTAAGACACACATACACCAGCTGCTTCATAAAGGAGACTCCTAGTGTCATGCACATCTGATGTATATCTATCTATCTTTACATACAAACAAGGAGCCTGTATTGGGAAACAGGTGTAAGTATAGTGTGTAAAATCAGTGTGAATAATTAAGTTAAATATCTTGTTGTGTTTCTTAGGTCTGATGGAGTTTTCTGCAGTAAAAACAACTGGGAAAGCCCCCTCTCCTCGCAGGTATGCAACTTAACACACATGTACCATACATCTACACACCCGGTGGTAACTAGGGCTGGGTATTGAACCTCAGTATGTGTTCAATTACTTGAATAACTGATCAGATGCATCTTAAGTATTCTGAAAATAAGGTAGTGAATGAAGTTTTGGTTTCGGTTCTAAAACTGGTATTAAATCTGCACTACTTTTCAAAAATACTATGTCCTAGTTGCTTTTTGTTAAATATAATTAACATAAGTCTCTGTGTGTGTGTGTGTGTGTGTGTGTGTGTTCCAGCTGGCATGGCAGTGCTGTGCTTTCAGACACAAAGTTTCTGATCCACGGTGGATACAACGGAAACAACGCTCTCAGCGACACCTTCATCTTCGATATAGGTGAGCTGCATCTCAAGGCTCCTCCAACTGATATCAATGAGTGTGTAGTTTATTGCAGTTTTCTTACCTTTGCACACAGCGGCTTCTCTACTAAACTGTTCCTTTAAACACTGGGTCTATTGTGCACCAATATTGTGGCATATATGTAGGATTTGGGCAAATAAAGGAAGGTGTCATGTAAACTAGCATCCTGTAAAATATATAACTGATGCGAGGGTGTTTTGTGTTCCAGACACCAACAGCTGGACAGAGGCGACCCTCCCTCAGATGTCCGTCCCTAGGGCGGGGCACTCCCTCATCACCATGGATACAGCAAGCCGCTTCTCAGAGGAAGACAACGACATGGACGTGGGCATCGTCGGCAGAACTCTGCTGGTGTTTGGAGGCGGAGACAACGAGGGCCATTTCTTCTCCGACCTGTCGACCGTCGCAGTGGAGGAACTGCTCGGTGCTGGTGAAAGAGAGTAAGTCAGAGGTCATGTCTCCCTGACTGGGTGTGAAGCTATCCCCCCCCCCCCTTTATAATTTATATTCCCATAGTTTGTCTTTTTTTTCTTTTGTTGAATGATCCCTTTCTTCTGTCTGTTTTTAATGGGATTTGGTTTTGGAAAAATGTATGGGCATCTCTTTTTATACAGATCTCAGATACTGTATTTCAGTATAAAAACATGATTAAGACATTTTCTACTTTTTAAAAACAAACTTTAAAGAAGGTGATGTTTTTATGATAGGAACATTGATCTTTGTTTTAGACTTAATTTCAGATCAAGGATTGTTTCCCCATTTGTTTGTACATAGTTTAAAGCTTCTTGAGTTCTTCCTCAGGTAAAATAAATGTATATTTTATTTTCATAAATTGCATCTTTCTGTTTTTCATGAGGCTTTCACTCGTCCCCATCATTTAGCATATGTTGCCTCCTAAATGCTGCCAGTGCATCAACTGCATTTTCAAGTTCACAATCATATTTCAGCTTTTGCATGTGATTTTGTAATTATCACAACTCGTCTTAACTTAATAAAATGTTGAATTTCCACAATGTCACTTTCATGCATCATGTTATTCTGGAAATTAACATCCCTCAAAGAAAGTGAGTCACATGGACAAAGACGGAGAGGAGGTAAAACCTACTTACACTCAGTTTTCCACCTTTTTCCATTGCAGTATAAAACCATCTTGTAAGTCTGACATAAAACTAGAAGAAACACTACTTAGCCAATTAGATGAGGTTTGACACTTGAGGGGGATTATCTCTGTAAACGCTGGTTACCTAATAATAGTGTCATGAACATTAGCACAGTACAGACCACCTGGTGTTTGGTGCTAGGACATTTACATAGGTCAGTAAATTCATAGCTTCTGTGTACAAGTGTTCTTAGATCGTCCTCGCTCTTAGGACTAAAGCTGCCATTGACATCGTTCTCGCCTACACTGTGACACAGGGTTTTCTATCAGCTACTGTATTTCACCAAAACAATCTTTCAGAATCAGTTATTCTTTCATAACAAGCTCATTCTAAAAGTCAGTGGTGGCAGCTGAGTGCTTCATGTTCCAATGCATTTTGACCATGTGCGACATTGTGGTAGAAAATTAGGATACTGTTTTAAGGAGGAGGAGAGGCTGACTATGATGTATCCGGTGTGTTGAGGAGTATAATGTAGGTTGCCAACCACTATGGGGAAAAGCACTGGCTACATATTAAAAAAAACAGTGAGTTGCACTCTGGCCAGATACATTTGGCTCATTTAATAGGTTGGCTGGTATGTTTTTTAAATGTTTGTCCAATGAAACTTAAAATACACACAAATCATCACTGATACAATTTGCTATTCAGCCTCCTACTCAGTGTCATTTCCTCTCCATAGAAGATTTATGTGACTCAGCAGGAAATAATCTTTCTTGGTTGGTTGGTAAAGAGGGACAGGTAAAAAGGTAAGGAGGGAGGTTGGGAGATAAGGAGGGAGGGAAGGAGGAGGAAGAAGTCAAGAAATGTGAAGGGAGATTGTTAAAGAGGGATGGAGGTAAGAAGTTAAGGAAGGAGGGGGAGAGAAGGAGGGAAGTAAAAGGTTAAGAAAGAAGGGAGGGAGGTAAGAACTTAAGGAGGGAGGGAGGTAAAGGGGAAGGTAAGAAAGGAAGGAGGGAGGTAGGTGGTTATGCAGGGAGGGAGGAGGGAAAAAGTTGAGGAGCGTCGAAGGAAGGAATGGGGTAAGTAAGGAGTTAAAGAGGAAGGAAGGAAGGAGGGAGGTAGGTAGGTAAGGAGTTAAAGATGGTTAAAGGCAGAAGGGGGAGGGAGGGAGGAAGGTAGACAGATGGAAAGGCGTCCAGCAGATGGCGACACTTCAACACATTTCAGACACTGGTTCACATGTTCACACTTATCAATGATATTTTTAATAGATTCTCCAAAAGAAAAAGTGCAGTTGAGAGCAGAACGTGTGTGTGACGTGCACTCTCCTGTGAACCACCGTCAGACTGGACCGGCTCCAACACAATGAGTGAACAATAAGAGGCATTTGGAATGAGTGCACCCTGATCGACAAGTCATAATAAAGTCTCTTATAGACGTAATGATCATGAACACACTGTTACAGACAGAGGTGTTTGTGTCCTGTTATGGTGCATACTGAGCACACTCCCTCCATCATCAGGGGGATGTTTTTCCCTTGATTCATCGGGAAATCCTGCCAGTTGGATTCTCTCCCACTCTCCTACTAACGAACCCTTTCATTTCCTGATTTCTTTTTTTCTCTTTTTTATTTTCTCTCCCCCAACATCCTCGCATTGTGTAAACGGTGAATATCTGGTATTGTGAGCGGTCTCCGCAGACCTCCTGACTGACAAGAGTTCAGACATCACCACTTCCAGCAGCAGCAGCAGCAGCAGCCATATTATCTTTGTCAGTCCATGGCTGTTGCTAAGTAACTTGAAAATGTCTATGCCAGCTGTCAGCATCTCACAGTCACACTTGGATTGCATGGGTACATATTTACAAATTATGCTCTATCATTACAGCTGTGGTGACAAAACACAATGTGTATTTATAATTGGATATGGCCTCAGTTAAATTACATAAAGCAACAGAAAGTGATTAGATCTGCTTTACTATTTTGTCTTAACTTGTATTTTAGATTTAATTCTTCATTGTGTGTGTTTTACTGTATTTTATTCTACTTCCTATTGTTCTGCTGTACTCTTGGAGCAAGCTGGCACAAGAATTTCCTTTGGGATTAATAGTCTTATCTTATCTCAATTAACAAAAGAAGGAGGCATTTTATGATATAGTAACGAATGCACTCAGTTGGGCACATAAGGTCCAAAAGTCCCCTTAAATCAAAGCAAGCTGCACCGAATTTCACACGCTCATAAATATCAGGCCCCTAAACACACCTTTGTGTTATTCCCTGGGAAAACAGAGAAAGTGTTCAACACAATTTTGATCCAGATCCACACCAGAATGTAATGGGTTCCTCCCTGACCCATAAAACATCCTTCAACCAAGTTTCTTGGAAATTCATCGAGTAGAGTTTGTGTAATCTTGCTTAAAATCAAACCACAAACAGCCAGAGGATCTTAAGTGGTAACAAAAATCCAATCATTTAACAAGCTCATTTGTGTCCTGCTCTAATATTTAACCACAGATACATGAACGTTTTTTGAAGTTGGCTAGAGGCAGCCAGGATGTTGGCTCTCTCCACCTGTTGGCCCCTGGAATCACTATTCATTCTACTACCAACCCAAGTATATTTGTTGGCAATGGGTTAATTACATGTAACATCAGTCAAATATACCTCAAATTCTGTATCTATTATTATAAGCATCAATTATGTTGTTTTTGACACCCAAGGGCAAAAGTTTCTTAGAAGTTCACGATGTGCTTGAACAAGGAATTCGTTTTTTTAATATATTCATTATGCATGACTTTGCTCAAAGATATAGAGCAAACAGTAAACAAGAAATTACTTAAGTGTACATCTGACTGAATCCGGAATTATGATGATGACTTTAGATACAAAGGGTCTTCACAACAGAAAACAAATTGTTGAAATGCAGAAGGAAGTACACACATAATGATGGTTATAATAGAGATAAAATACCGCCAATAGCCTGGCACTAAGTTTAGAAGAATGCCTTCTATAGAAAGTATGCTTTCACCTGAGAGTTGGTGGATTCTGCATGGATGTTGGACAAGTTATGGGCCCCTCTGTAAGACAGGGCAACACGATTTAGTGCTAAAGAATGACCCAGATGGTATTGTATTGTGATGGTCTAATAAAAAGCAAATGCAGGTGAATTCAGGGCTCTTGAGGGCCCCTGGGGGTTTATCTCCAGTAGTCTCAGGAGTCTCCGGGGGATATGTTTCAGTTGAGGAGGAGTCCTGTGGGAATTATGCGCAAACCAATGAAATGCAAGAGTTTGTCCTTGTGAACTCAGAACTCTCTGGTGACGCTGCACCTGCCACTCGCCAAACCTGGAAGTTACCTCGGGGCTCGGAGAAAAAGTCGAGTGGAACCGAACACAGACGAATCCTCCCTCCCTCCCTCCCTCCTCCTTCAGTCGTGGTGCAAGCAGCCATGTTGCCGCGAGCTTGTTCCGGTATCAGGGCAGGATCGTGCGCATAGTCTGCATTCGGGCGCAGCTCCTCGCCTCTCTCCCCCCTGTCGCCCGTGGCACACACACACACCTCCAAACAAGAAGACCCCCCGTCTACAGATCATGGATTTTACAACCTGATGATCCTCCCTTCAGTCGCCTGATCGCGGGGAATAACAGCAGCAGTCGGCGGTTACCGACAGGACGAGCTGGTGTATCGCCTCACTGCAGTGCAGCAGAGGCGGACGACCTTATTCCAATCACGCCACAGGAGGAAGAGCGCCGGTGATTTCCGTGGATTTTGAGTTTGGTGGGCTGCTCCGTGGCGAGTCACCGCCGCCGCGTCCGCCGGAGGATAAGCTAACTAGCTAGCTCTGCCTGGGAAGAAACACTGAATTGGCTAGCTACATGGGCTAATATCGGCCAAGCAGTTAGCTAGCACAACAAATTAATTCGTGTTTCTCCTCTGCCATGTGACCACTCTCCACAGCGCTGCTTTTATTTCCCTCCCCGGATACCCTAACCTTGGATATCACGCTGGGAACATTTTGGATTGTTTTGTGTGAGTTGGGAAGGTCGAGACCTCGCCGGGAATAACTTTGGCCTGAAAGTTTTTGGACCCCAGACCAGAAAGGAAACATCTCAGCCTCTTGAAAAAAAAAGACAAATATAGACGACGAGAGTGCGTTTATCAGAAACAACGTTGGATTTAAGTTGGTTGTCGATTTCGGCGACAGCTCCAGCTTCCTCAGGCGTTAGTTAGCAACGTTACTTAGCATGTTAGCTACCTAATTGAACCTTGTCTTGTGCAGTGCAACCATTGCCCAACTTTTCTTCAAGCTAGCCCAAGTAGCTAGCTGCCGAAAACGTCACAGCATCAGGTTGTTAGCTCGCTAGCCACCCTCGACGCTGTCAGATGCTAACTGGAAACTGAATGTTTCCCCACCAGGACCGAAGCTGAAAAAAAGACACTTGCTCTCCTTTTTCCTCGTTTTGTGCTTGTTGACAAACATGGGACGTGCGGTCGCTGCTAGCTAGTCTCTAGCTAGTTGGCTAACTCGGCTAGCCGCTGATGTGGGATCCAACTTGTTGATTCACGGGTGAATTGTCGTGCTGCTAGCTGGCTAGCACTGGACATCTGTTGGGAATTTACCTCCACCACCAGCTACCCACGTTTTAAATGCACAATAGACACTGAAGAATCGTTCTTGTGTCACTGTTCCTTTCCCCCTTTTTTGGCAACCCCCAAGTCTTTCAAAAATGTCAACAAGGCCCCCACTGGTGCAAGTCATTGAGAATTCGACCGGGCAGGTAAGATCTACATTCAAGATCACTCTTCCAAACAGTGTTAGAGTTGATATTAACCCATTAACACACTCAAGTGTGACATTCTCATCTGCTTTCGAGGGAGGCCTAGTTTGGCGTCTCTTTGCTTTTCTCTGTCTCCCTTGTCTTCGCCACACAGCAGTGATTCACCAGCTTGCCTACGCACTCACACTGGGTTTCCCACTCCTTGCAGAATATGAGATCAAATTTAGTCTCATGTTGAGTCTGTGTGCTGGGGCATGTCCTCCCGCTTGACTTATCATCAATGAGACCTGTGGCAATAGGGATAACCCTGTCCGCCAGTTCCAGATGATTGGAGACAGTGGAGAAGCCTGGCACCTACACACAGTATATAAGACTGGGGCCTCATTAACTTTCTATACAAGTGTGTGGGCTAAATGCACCTTTAACCTTTGGAAACATTAAACATCCATTGTAAAAAAAATAGCTGGAGACCTTACATTTCATGTCATATATTTTAGTATTTAATTGCATGTTATATAGTGCAGGCATGGACTTGTGGTGGTGCTCTCCAGAAAGAGAAAGTTGATATATTGTGTTTGTGCTGGACAGTCTTGACACAGGAACCTTAAAAGAAGAAAAATCCTGTTTGATATAAAGAAGCATTGGCGGCTATGGGATCATAGAAAACGGACGTCCAAAGTTTTAAGATGCTAATGCAGACAACATATCGTGTGGTGAAACAGCACTACAGGAGCAGATGTAGACTTAAAAGCATAGGTTTTATTACAATTGGCATCCAGATGTTAGGCTGAAACGTGTCTTATTTGGGTTCAGTTGGGGTATTGAAGGCATTTACAAGCAACACACAACATACTTTGCCCTAGAACTCCTGACCTCTGTCCATAAAAGCTAATTAATCAATACATTTTAACAGGATTTTCAACTCAGGACATTAAGTAAGAGTCTGTGTTTCATGTGTCCATTCAGTTGAGTAGAGAAAAGCTTTGGTAGCATGTTTTAAGCTTAAAAGAAACCCCTTGGCTGTACATTGTAAATCATTAATATAAGGCCTCTTCTTCCAAGAATACAGAATCTGTCTTAAACCTGTCAGGCAGTTTAATCTAGAGATGAATTACGAAGAAGCCACACATACATACAAATCTTAACTACACATAGCATTATTTGCATTACTTGGACAGTTGATGACATACCACGTTTTAATCTGTCTCTTGAAATGAAAGAAAAAAAATTGGATATGCAAATCAAATAGAACATTTGTGTCTCTACATCTTGACAGTTAGCCATTACATGTTTTCAGTGCGTGTGAGAAGCTTCACACATTTCTATATTTGTATTGCTTGTGTATCTAAAAGTATAGTAAATATATTAATGTGGCTGTGGTGACAGATTAATTTAACAGTCAATAGCTTTGATGAGCGATGCATCACAAAAATGTAGTAATTTTACACACGTAAAGCATTGGCTCCAGCCTTTATGAAAAATGAGTAAGTAACTTTGAGTTTCAGATTTGTAAAGAGCAACTGTAAATCCAAACAGACTTCAGATCTGCTTTCACCTGCCAATAGGAAAACGTCTTGATGCAGGAGACTCAAAGGTTCAAAGATTTTGTCTACTGTTGTTTCTTGTGCAAACGCTGACGGAAATTGTGTGTTGATACCGTGATCTCACTGCGTGTGAGTGTGTGTTTGTCCGACGA